TCTGGTGAAGATGTCCCAGATCTCTGCTATCACTGGAATCGTTTGCTGTTGGTATGCAGTATTATTTAGCGCCCGGATAACGACGGAGCCATGCTCTATTTTATTCCCTCCCTCCCCCCTCTATCGCTGCCTATCTAAGTGTTGGCTTTCTTTAACGGCGCTTCCTTTTTTTCTAGGTTCCGAAAGTGCTTATTCCCCCTTGAGGGGGACTGTATTCAATACAAGAGGATCAGACTTGAACACTCGACTCTTCTTCCCGGTAGTCTCAATAGGATAGACTGATACCTTCTTCAAGGAATCAAGGAGGTTTAGCCGTCATTCTCTTTGTCACAGATCCAGATGCTATTCCAAGCGAATGAAGAAGGCCCTAGGTAATAGAACAAAACAAGCAGCTATCAGTTAACGTAGACGACCGAAAGACAGCCTTTGACGCTTTAATAAAGTAATCCTACTGGTCACGGATGGTCTAACTAAAGAACATTGTATCGGAGCTCATCTGCTTGCGCAGGAGATCATTAGGTTAGTAAAACAGACACTTACACACCGCTCTTTAGGGTCATTACAGTTGCTTCCCGCCACCAAGCTAATAACAAAATGGTATGCATAATATTCAACACTTGAATCCACGTGACAGGCTAACCAAGCTATACATTCTATAGTGTGATTTCCTCTATGGTAGCATATCACCACTAGCAATGGCGAAACATGATCCATAAAGAGGTCATCCACAAACCATACTGGGGTATTCGTCCAAAGAGTTACCTGCACTCCTTTAACTTGCATTTCTTGTATGAGCTATGAGAAGACACCTGAAATCAAAGAAAGCCCACATAAGAGATTGCACCAGTTCATCACTATATTTCTTCACAATGGCAATCAAGTTAAGCTGAAATTTCCTCAGTCGGATTATTGGAGAAGACTAAAGGCGCTTCGCGCGGGAATTGATGTGGTGGAGGAAATGTGCAGGGATGCGGCGCTCCCGTGGATGATCGGAATTGTGCTCAATACTATGCATGCCTCGAAGCCCTACCCCAAGCTTCCAAATTCAAGCCCCTTAACGGCAAGAATAATAAACGCCACCAGTGAATTCAATTCACCAACAGTCTCTACAGAGCCACATCCAAGTGAAATCCCCTTCCTTCCTGCAAGCTTCTGAACAATCAATCGTCTTTCCTCTCCAGTCAAACACATTGAACCCCACCGCCGCCCCCGATCGAATTCCACCTCTCAGGCAGAGCTCGGGTGCCGCAGCAGCAATTTCACCTGCAGCCTCTCCCTGGCATTGATAGCGATCGGCCCCAACTCATCCGCATGATCCAACCCTCAAAATTCCAAACTCCAAGCCGAAGAATTCAGCCGGACGATTGACGTGGGTTTATCGGAATCTTTGAGAATCGAAGCCGCAATATATTTGAGGGTAGATATTGGCCTATTGGGGTAGCTTTGACGAACGATGGCCTTTCACGATGAAGTTTTGATTCATTAATCCAATATGGGGTGTGGCATGATGACAATGAAGTTTTGATTCATTATATGATCAGTTATTATTAGTTAGAATGATTAAAACGTAAGCAACCAAAAAGAAAAACACTGTTTCATACGAAAAGAGCGCTAACTACGCTTAATAAGAGATTCCGGATTATTGTTCATCCTATAATTTCCCCCCCCTACGATAGATGGGCGGACCCATGCATTAGCAAGGTGTGTCAACCGACACATCTTGGCTCGGAAATTTTGTGAGAGATCCATGTTTCGTTGGTACAAAAATTTTGAATTCGAAATTTCTGACACACCTCATATAATTGCAATCGACACACCTTTAATACACTATATTGATTTTGATGTCATATAGCAATAGGTACCAAAATACACAAATATATATTATTTATTTTAATTTTTAGTGAAAATGTCGAGAGGAAAAAAATCAACAATGGCTCATAGTTCCCTGCTCCACTCTCTAATTGCTAGCACCTGCCGGTGGAACCCCATCCTCTTTCAAACTTTTACGTTAACGCCTGTCGCCAACGTTCCTGCTTTCCATTTTATGCTATGGAGTTAATCAAGAGCGAACTTCAAAATCAGTTTTATGAATAAATTTTTACTTTTGTACGTCGAAAAAAGTTTGATCACACCATAAACGACAAATATATTTTACAAACATTTCTGAATATGAAAAGTTGCCGCGTGTCACTGTAAAAAATAATAAATTACAACCTTAATGAATTAATATTTTATTTTACTTTTTATTTAATACGTTTAATTTATTAATTATTTTTTGTTTGCCGACACACCTATTAAAGAATTCTGTGTCCGCCACCGGATAGATTCATGTTATCTCGCGTGGACACGCGGACGGCAAACCAAGTAATTATCATGCTTAAATTCCGTTCGCATGAGGCCGAAGTAATAGGCTTCAATTTCACCCTCCCCATTTCCCACCAATTTGTCCATCCTCTGGTTCTCCTTCCATCAATATTCCCTTAACTAAAGTTCAGAATATCTCCTTAACTGATGCAAAGAAGAGAAGCAAAAAAGAGAAGCCTCTCTATGATTTCCCTTCAGTCCGCCCTATTTTCCATCCATCAGTTGCTTTACACTACAACAAAAAAAAGTCCGATTGTTTTTTACACAATTGTTTAATCAGATGTGATATTTATAATAAGTTAATTTTATTATTAAATTACATATTATGAAATATTTACAAAACACCATTTTATAAAATTTACGTAAATTACATATACATTACGTACGTTACGTACGTAAATTACATATACATTACGTCAAACTTATTTAGGGATAGTTATTTTTTCTGTATCAATTAAAAAAAACGTGATACGTAAATTCTTTCATAATGATTCCATAAAAAAATTCTTTCATAATGATTAAAGCATAACTTAAAAATAATGGAAGGATAGTAATTTTTTATGTATCAATTAAAAAAAATATATTGCGTATGTGAGTCTTCTGTGATATCAATTTGAATTAAAAAATTATTATTAATTAAATAGTTGACCATCTCACCGATTTGAATTACACAAAATTTTGTAAGGTTTACATAACAGTTTAATTAAATATGATACATTTTATAACTTTATTTTTTATTACTAATTAAATTTTGGTTATTATTGTCTACAATATTCATCATCTTATCAATTTGCATTATGCAAATGTTCCATAAGATAAGTTAACTTTTACATGATAGTTTAATCAAAATGTAATACTTTTTGTAACTAAATTGTTATTATTAATTAATAGTTGACCATCTCACCAATTTGCATACACAAAAAATTTGTAAAGTTTACATAACAGGTCAGTTTAATTAAATGTGATACTTTTTATAACTTTATTTTTTTATTATTAATTAAAATTTGGTTATTATTATCTACAATATTCATTACCTCATCAATTTGCATTACACAAATGTTCCATAAGGTAAGTTAACTTTTACATGATAGTTTAATTAAATGTAATACTTTTTGTAATTGGACCACAAGTCATGAAAAATGTGTGTAACTGTAACACCATTCTATAACATTTAAATAAAATATAAATCTATTACTCCGAATAATTTGCAAGGATAATTGTTTATTATGTATCAATTAAACAAACGTATTGCTTAAGTTTTACCGTCGCGAAGCACGAGCCAGAAAACTAGTTATATAAATTTGGGATGTTGAATGATACACCTCTAAGAAATAAGGTATCATACGGGAAACGATAATAATTTTTCAGGGACTTAATAGCACGTATAATTATTTCAATAGTGTATTATGTAATCATAATTTTTGTTAAAAAATAATTTAATACAATTAATTCTAGCCGCTTGATTAGATCAATGATATGAGGATTTGGAGCATGTTATGCGTCTAGAGCATACGAGTCGTATCCATATATATATATATATACATTGTATAGTTAAGGCTAGCATATGCTATACGCTTGTGTTCACACTACAGTACGCTCGTATTTGAGGCATGATACTATTCCCTAATCTCTAATGGGTGAACCCAAGTCCCTATTTCTCTAACCCGAACAATAAAATCATTTAAGAAAATAATCACAGAACGGTTTTGATTCATCGACAATGCACTCGCCTTCGGTGCACTCACTTTTTTGGGGTGCATTCAATGCACTCGCCTCATTATCATTATTATGAGGAGGCGATTCATATTACGTCAATCACTTGTGACATGATGGACAATAAAACACATAAATTTTCACAAAAATCATCCAAGATTTACTTTGATTTAAAGGTTTTAGAGTTTCGGGGTTTAGGGTTAGATTTTATGTTCAAAATTGAAGATTTAGGGGTTAGAGTAATGGAATGGTTAATTCTAATCATATGTTATATCATCTTATCGGTCTAATGTTACCAATTAAAATAAAAATTTGTTGTCTTAATACTAATTTTAGAGCTGAGTGCATTGAGCGCACTCAATGTTGTGAGTGCATCGAAGAAGCCACTTATATATAAATATATATCCATTTATGGTGCCTTCTATCATACACCGAGTAAACTAAGGGGTACTGCATTCCCAGAGTAAGAAAATTATATTTAGACCTCGAATAAATTGGATTTTGAGGCATGATACTATACCCTCACCCTTAATGTGTACACCCTAGGTCCTAATCATATAAATCATAGACCCTAAACACTAAGATGGTGCATATAGTTTGTTGCATATATTATGACGAATCATGACTGTCAATTGTTTTTTCTAATTAAATTGATCTTAGTGTGTGTATATATATATAGGTGACCACTTCGGTGCACTCACAAAAATGAGTGCGTTCAATGCACCCAACTCAAAAACTAGTCTTAAGGTGTCAGATTTTGAATTTTAATTTGTAGAATTAGTGTAATATGATGATATAACATATGCTAACAACTAATTAGCGAATTATCCTAAGCCCTAGACCTCCAATTTTGAGTTCTATCCCTAAATCCCAAATTGTAAACCCAAACCCTAACCCTAAATCTCTTAACTCTAAATCCTTCAAATTAAAGTAAATCTTTAATGGTTTTTGTGCAAATTCATGTACGTTATTGTTCATCACATCATAAGTGATGATTGGCATCATTTTGACATAAATCGCATGTTTAAAATGACGATTATGAAGCGAGTGCACTGAATGCACCCAAAAAAGTGAGTGCACCGAAGACACCACCATATATATATATATATATATGGATACGACTCGTATGCTCCGGACGCATAGTACGCTCCATGCCTTTCCACCATTGATATAATCTATGGCTATTATTATTTATAATTAACTAATTTCTTATTAATAATTACAATTACTAATTACACCCGTAAATAATTATACGTCCATTAAAATCCCCCAACAATGAATAATCATCTTGTATTGTATAATTGAGTAAATAAAACCGAAGCTGATGTTTGATACACCGTCATCGTAGTCGACTAGTCGTCGTCCCTATATACAAAAGATTGGAAGGCGGCGGAGGATTAGGAAATCGCCGGGAATTGTCATCTCCGATCCACAACAACATCTACACGTCTACAGCAGCGGGCGCACTTATTGTGGGGAGATAATTTGTTTTTTTGGTTCACCATGCTGCTCTCCCCTCTGTTATTTGTCCATTATCAGTTTGGGGGATTCGTTGGCCATCTTATATGGAATAAATTTTTGTGAATTGATATGGGAATAGTGGTTTGGGGTGGTAGCTTTATTCCAATTTTGATTGAACTATTCCTAGAGATCCAGATGTCCAATTCTGATTAAACTATACCTAGGGTTCTTGATGGAATTAGACTGTGAAATCGCCTCATGTAACTGAATGTCTTTCTCTCGGACACGAAGGGGGCATTGGGGAAGGAGACGCAACAGCCGCAACGGGATCCGTATCTTGAGTTTCTGTATAGGGAGAACTTCTGACGGAGATCGTCGAGAGTAATGTGGTGGCGGTGACGGAGAGATGAACTGGAAATTATCCGAAGAGAGGGATATACAGGATGTGTAAAATTCCAGTGATCGACGATATGAGACGGCTAGGGATAGATTTGATGATCGCCAAGGCCCAAGGGGGAGGAGAAGGTTCACCCACCAAGATGAAGAGGAAACGTGAAAGGATTTGGAGTTGGCCTTGACAGTCTGAGAAGAAACAAAATACAAATGTAGACAATGCCAAAATTGGGGATTAAGTTATGATTGGAAAAAAATTAGGTATTATAAAATTGATATGTCAAAATATGTATAGGAATTAAATAGCACGTATGAGAAAATAATGGAACCATTTAATAGTCTTTAAATAGTAAATTACATGTAATTTAATTAGTATTAATAAATGTCGTTAGATTAGATCAACGGTGTAGAGAATCTGGAGCATGCTATGCGTCTGGAGCATACGAGTCTGACCCATATATATATATATATATATATGGTGCCTTCTACCGTACCCCAGGTGAAATCCGGGGTACCGCATACCTTGAGTATGAAAACGCTATCTAGACCTTGAATTAGCAGGATTTTTGGGGATGATACTATACCTTAACCCTTAATGAGTGAACCATAGGTTCTAATTATCTAAATCATAAACTATAAACCCTAAGATTGTGCATTGATATTTTTGCCTATATTTGGAAGAATCATAACCGTCGATTATTGTTTCTAATTAAATTGATCTTGGGGTATAAGATCTAGAGAATTAAGACCTAGATTTTGATCTTTAAGGGTTAGAGTATAGTATCATGTCCGAAAGATCAGTCAATTCAAGTTCTGAATAGCGTTTTCCTACTCAAGGTATGCGGTACCCCGGATTTCACCCTGGGTACCGTAGAACTCCCCATATATATAATTAAAACCTAGAGTTTAATCATTAAGGGTTAGGGTACAATACCATATCCCAAACTCCAATCAAGTCGAAGTGTAGATATCATTTTCTAACATATAGTATGCCATACTTTGATTTTGCTCAAGGTATGATAGAACCATCAGTATATATATAAAATTGTTCTGATTCAGCGAAATATATTGAAGTGTAAATAACAAGTGTGTACGCCTGACGTATGCTAGCCTTTGCTATATGTATAGTCATGGTTGAAGAGTTAAAGACCACAATCTTCAAATTCAACAGTCAACTTTGGCAGTGCAACATTGTTTTGGGAGTTTACTGGATCTCTTGGAATTTCAAGATCGTGATCTCAACTCGTGAACCCGTCCGTCCCTGTCATAACTGGGGAGCTCAATTAGTACGATATTGTCCTCTTTGGGCCAAGCCCGCACGGTTTTACTTTTGGGTGTCCTCCCCAAAAGGCCTTGTACTAATGAGCTTGGTGGACACTAATATACAAGGGTTCCTTCCCTTGTATTTCCGATGTGGTACTTGGATTGTCCCATAACAATCCTCCCCTCAAGTTAAGGACCACGAACTTTGCGTCCTCCCCTCAACGATTATCTTGATCCGCCAGACGCCTTGTATTGATAGGCTTCTCGATACAAGTATTTTCCCAGACATGGAACTCTCTTTGATTCGCCAAACAAACATGGATCTCTCCTAGATCCACCAGACAGACGCAGACCTCCCTTGATCCGCCAAACCAGATGTATCCCAAACATGGATCTCTCGTGGATCCACCAAACTAGACGCAAATCTCAAATCCTGAGGTCACCGAATGAGAGTTCCACCAAACTGACGTCCATCGCCCCGAACCGAATCAGGCTCTGATACCACTTGTCGAAATCGGGCTGCTCAATTTGTACGATATTTTTTGCTTTGGGCAAAGCCCACACAATTTTACTCTTGGGTTTCCTCCCCAAAAGGCCTCATACTAATGAGCTTGGTGGATACTAATATACAAGGGTTCCTTCCCTTGTATTACCGATGTGGTACTTGGTTTGTTCTCATAACAATCCTCCCCTCAAGACAAGGACCACCAACTTTGTGTTCTCTCCTCGGCGATTATCTTGATCCGCTAGACACCTTGTATCGATGGGCTTCTGGGTACAAGGATTTTCACAGATGCAGAACTCTCTTTGATCTGCTTCCTAAATGCGGAACTCTCTTTGATCCGCCAAGCTGAAACGTGGATTTCTCCTGGATCCACCAAACATACGCGAATCACCTTTGACCCGCACGAATCTCAAATCCCGATGCCACCAAATGAGGGTCCCACCAAACCGGCGTCCACCGACCCGAATCGAACCAGGCTCTGATACCACATGTCGAAATCGGGCAACTCAATTAGTATGATATTGTCCGCTTTGGGCAAAGCCCACACGGTTTTTCTCTTGGATTTCCTTCCCAAAAGGCTCGTACTAATGAGCTTGGTGGACACTAATATACAATGGTTCCTTCCCTTGTATTACCGATGTGATACTTGGTTTGTTCTCATAATAGTCCCCATGCTTATAATAACAAATACTTGTTTTTAAGGAAGAGGATCTCCATTTGACATTTCCAATACACTTAAGAGAAGAGAGGCAGGGTTTTCGCTGACAAATAAGAGAAGAAAGCTTGGAGAAGAAGTAGGTGGTGCTCACATCTTGGGAAGCTTGAAGTTCTAGATTCGAAGACTGGTAAAAGATGGCCTCCCCTTTTGTATTTCTTCTTCTTTTATGGGATAATTCCATTGATTCTTGGGGTTAGAACTTTCTAACTTATTGTAAAGGATTTTGATATGATTTGAATGAAATTGTTACTAGTAATTCACCTCCAACCGGTGGTTTTGACTTTTGATTATCATTTACCTGCCTAATGTGTAACTGATGTTTGGCTATTGACCCATGATAAGGGTTACAATTCACTTGGTTCAAGTCATGGCCTAGACTCAATTGGAATATGTGGTTAAATACATGATCATTGATTTACTCGTGTCTAATTTGAGAATTGAGCTAAGTGGTCCATTACATGGCCATTTGGTTTACCTACCTTAGCTGGAAAATTCCCAAGTTACACATGTTTGTACAAAAAATTCTCAAAATACACACGTTATGAAAAAAATTCTCAATCTACGCATGTTTGGATATTCACCGCGGCAGAGCAAGGCGGTGATTGAATCACTGCTTGAGAGGAGGGAGGTGATTGGGCACTGATTGCAACCCCGTTGTAGAGGAAGGCGATGAATGCTTCACCGCATTACACGGCCGCGGTGAAGGCCTCACCTCCGTCGAAACTTTAAACAAACGTAACTTTGTGCTCGGTTATCCGATCGTAGCGATTTTTTTTTATTCCGCATAATTTTTTGAGATCTTGCAAGCTGCAAACGCCGTAGGATTTTTGGTCCTGCCTTCGTCCCGAAAAAAGTCATTTGCTACCCCGAACGAGCCTTTTTCGATTTCGTCAAACTTTGAACGACCATAACTTTGTGCTCCACATCGGAAAATCATTAATTTTTTTTATTTCACATAACTTTTTAAGGGCTACAATTTTTAGTAGGAGAGAATTTTCAAAAAATGAATTATTTTTGGATATACAGGGTTTTGTGAATAACTTTACCTTCCCTTTTCAGGAATCCAAGTACATTACGAAATTATGTCTATGATAATAATTGTAGTCCTTAAAAAGTTATGTGAAATAAAAAAAATTCATGATTTTCGGATTGTCAAGCACAAAGTTATGGTCGTTCAAAGTTTTGACGAAATTGAAAAAAGGCTCGTTCGGGGTAGCAAACGACATTTTTTTGGGACGAAGGCGGTGGTTTGCGGCTTGCAAGATCTCGAAAAATTATACGGAATCAAAAAAAAGTTTGCTACGATCGGATAACTGAGCACAAAGTTACGTTCGTTTAAAGTTTCGACGCAGGTCAGGCTTTCACCGCCTTCCTCTACAGTGGTGTTGTAATCACCGCCTTCCTCTACAGCGGTGATGCAATCACGCCCTCCTCACATGCGGTGATGCAATCATCGCTCTTCTTTCATGCGGTGATTGTGCAATCACCGCCTTGCTCTGCCGCGGTGAAGGCCCAAACATGCGTAGATTGGGAATTTTTTTTTCATAGCATGTGTATTTTGCGAATTTTTTTGAAAAACATGTGTAACTTGGGATATTTTCCTACCTTAGCTTGGTAGGAGGAAAATTGGGTACATGATCATTGACCCAATTGTCTCATTGTAATTCTTGCGTCATATAAGGCTATAAATTAAAGGAAATAAGACTTAAAGGGTGTTAGAGTAGTCAAAAGAATTAAAGGAAATACTACATTAGTAGGAGAAGAAAAGTGCAACTGGTTTTGTAAGTTCGCTTTCCACTTTAGTTTATTGGATAAGACAAATGAAATTAAGCAAAAACGGATTATAATTATAATTTAAAAAAAAAAGACAAATGAAGTAGAAGTGCTAAATTGCAAATGTAACAGCTACCAAACTACACCCTTAAATATAAAAATCCCACATTAAACAAAATCAAGATATGGGGGCAAAACTACATATATTAAATCAAGGTCAATGATGATCAGCCCTTAATAATCATCATCACCAAGAGTTGTCCAAGGGCTTCTCAAGCAGAGCAGACAGGTACATCTCCCTGAGCTCCTCCCCACGGTCAAGCTTCCTCCCAACCACCCACTTCACCTTCCTGAACCCAACGCTGCGGATGAGCGGCCCGTACACGTCCCTGAGCTCGTCCCCGACGCAGAAGAAGTGGTCGAGCCAGAAGAGGCCGCCGGGCCGGAGCACCCGGTAGACGTCGAACACGAGGAAGTGGAGCAGCGTGGTGGGGATCCAGTTGCTGAGCACGTGCATGGAGTGGACGATGTCCATGGTGTTGTCGAAGAAGGGCAGCCGCTGCGAGATGCTGACGTACATGGGGATCACCCCGCGCGACGCGATGAAGTTGTTGAAGGGCCCGTTGAGGTTCATGGACGTGGTGATGACGGTCACGTTGCGCTCCTTCATCCGGACGGCGAACGTGGCCACGCCGCCGCCGATGTCGAGGCCGATGCGGACGGTGCCCGGGGCGCGGAGGGAGAGGACCTCGTCGATGGTGAAGTCGAGGCTGCCCGGGACGATCTTGCTGGACGCCCACCGGCTCCTCTCTCGGCCGTTCAGGTCGAAGCAGTCCTTGCAATCGTCGAACCCCTTTTGCTTTATGTACCTACAAAATCAGAATCAAATCTTGCTTTGATGAGGTTTTGATATGTTTTATAAGTTATCTGGTATTTGTGGTGTGGTTTATGAATTTTGTAGTGTGGTGAGTAGGGGTTGCTATACTGTTTCGGTTAAATTGGCCCGAATTGATCCGGTTGCAGTTCGTTTTTTTTTGGGAATATAAGGACCAAAAAATGAATTGGATACAGTCCGGTCTTGATCCGGTCCGGTCTTGACCCGGTCCGGTCCCAATTTGATCTTGATTTTAGATTGACCTTGTGGGGATTTGAGTGGCCTGAGACCTCAAAGGGTGATGAGTTGGTTAAGTTTTTGAGTGTTGGGGTCTCTTATTCGGTCTTAATTCGATTTTTGATACCATCCCAAACGGTTTTTTTACCTCAAATCTAAGCCCGAATATGAGAGTGGATTGTTTGCTATCCGGTCCCAGTCCGGGTTATACGGTCCTGTTTCGGGTAAAACCAAACAGTCAAAACCAAATAGTTAGCCCTAGTGGTGAGGTTCTACTATGCTTTATAAACTTTCTAGTATGCTTTGACCTTTGAGTTTTCTGACAATGAAGAAAAATTACATTTTAGTACCTAAAATTTTTTTTGACTCATAATTTGATACCTAACCTTTTTAAAATTATAAATAGGTCCAACTTAATGAGGTTTCTGGTATGTTTGAAGAAATATGCGGTATGTTTTATGAGGTTTAATTTAAAGTATGCTTTAAAAAATTTGTGGCACGGTTTATGAATTTTGTGGTCTAGTATGCTTTTATAAGCCTTATGATATAATTTTTTTATATATTTGTTGTCTGGTTATAAATTTTTTCTAGTATTCTTTGTAGATTTTTTCTTGCGATTTTGTGTTTCAATTGTTATAATAAAATCACTAATAGTTTTTAAGTTGATGTTTGTGAGATTTAACAAAAATTAATCCAACCGGGGAAATTATTCGAGGCATATATGATATGATGTGCCCCTCAACCTTGCTTTAAATCTTTCTACTGAAATTGGTATACCTAAAAGTTGAGCTGGCCGGTGTAATCAACAATTTAAAGTATATATGTATAAAAAACACGTACGGTAATATGGCTTTAGTGTATCCGACAGACAGATTTGGTATGGTATTACAATTATAAATACCATCAATCCATCATGAATGATGACCTGATTGTTGCTAATTAAGAGACTGGGAAAAAAAAAAAAGTCAACTGATAATTAGAAAAGCAAGAATTGAAGTTAATTACCTGTCTATGAGACACTGGTAGTTTTTGCAAGTGTAGGCTGTCCAGACGACGGAGGAGTCAGGCGGAGTCTTCCACTGCGACTCCGGCAGCGGGTACGGCTCCACGCAGTGGTTCTGGGTGGCGGGGCGGCACCTCCGCCGTGGCAGCGGCTCGCACCCTTTCAGGAGCAGCTTCTGGGCGAGCAGCTCGTCGTCGGGGCACGACCCGTTGACTTCGTACGACATGAACCGCCGGAGCTCCTCCGGGAACCGGCTGCACGAGCTCCCCACCGGCGGGTAGATCTTGTCCGAGTCGAAGTTGGTGTTGAAGCCGAAGGGCAGGACCTGGCCGGAGGTGAAGGCGATGAACTCCGCCGGAAGATCCTCCTCATCGGTGGAAGCGATTGATTGGGAGGTGCGAAGCGGTTGTGGCGGGGTTGAAGATGAGTCTCCACCGGAGGAAGGGATGAGAGTGGTGGCGGCGGAGGAGAGGGAGCAGGAGGAGGATGAGTAGAAGGTGGAGGAGAGGAAGAGAGTGATGAGGTTGGTGGAGAGGAGAAGGAACAGGAAGAAGAGGTTTGTTGACAGAGCTTTCGGTTTACGTGGAGACTCCATTTCTCTATGATTTGTATTTCTTTTTTTGTGTGTGCTTGGATCCCTTTGAATTGAAGGGAAACATATAATTGTGGAGTGAAGTAGCAAGGATAGAGAAGTGTTGGATCTTTTTTATTTTTAATTCTGATTGTAAGACTTGCTAAAAATATTCCTAATATACAACACTTGCACAAAACAAATTAATAGTATAATATACAAGTTTGGAGCAGCTCTGGTGTTTAATGTTATAAGTGCCCGATCATTATAGACTTAAAGCGATTTTTAGCCAAATTGCTAGAGACTAAAGCGAGTCAATCTAGATCACGATCAATTCCAGCGAACTTTACATTAATTTTCAACTTTCCGCATATAACTTTTATAATACGAGGCTCTGGGAGACATTGACAGTCATACAAAAGGAATTGACAAAGAGCAGGATATGAAATAGACACAGAGTGAAACACCAAAGGGGTTGCCCGCGGCTAGCTAGAAAATCAGCACATTTATTGTTGAACTTCTATAATAGAAGTTGTAATTCTTGAAAAGTTATGCAAAATGAAAAATATAGTTTGTGTGTCCAGTGGCGGATTCAGGGCTGGGCCACCCCAGGCCCCGGCCCAACTTTCCTTCGGATCCAGAGTTAGTTTAGTGCTCATAAAATTTTTCGATTTAGGTATTTGGCCCAATGCTATTTAAATTCCTGTTTAGTTTTATTTGATAATAGGATTTTGTGTAACTAGAAAAATGGTTTAGATGAACATATCCAAACCATTACTCTAAATTTATAATACATTTTCTATAGCCCCAATGACTTTATTTGAAAAAAGACATGAAAACCTAAAAGTGTAAGTTTCATTAAAATAAAAAATAAAACCTCTAAACTAAAGCACACCCTTCCTTGAAAAATTCAAAAAATTTCCCAATTCCCCCAAAACAAAACAAGAACTAGGAGACGAGCATACCCAAAATGGATTTCTCCACCAACCCGTCGAGCTGGTTTTCTTTCCATTCTTTTGATTAAGAAAATATTTACAAACTTCCTGAGTCATCATTTAGATTGCCTCAATTGAGTGGGGCACTAGATTCTAACCGTTCTTTTTGGTGTTTTGATGAAGAAAATATTTACAAACTTGCTCAACAGTTTAGCCTCGAGACTTTGAATGCTATGAGATGCATTCTTTGGAGAACGCACTACTCATGTGAGGAAGATGAAGTTTCTTCTCTTGCAAAATTATTAGAGAAGCTGGAGGAAACAGGGATGGACACATAATACAAATTGATTTCTCGGTTGATTTGTCTAGTGTTGACCTAGCCGTTTCAACAACTACCATGGAGAGAATATTTTCAGCAATGGAACATGAACATTGATTTGTGCAACAAAATGAGCGATGAATTTCACGTTGATTACTTAGCTATTTTCTTTGAAATGAGTATATTATCAGTATGAATGGAGATTATATTATTGATGAATTTGCTAAATTAAAAGACTTTCTTGTACAATTGACATTGTAATGAAAACTATATTATTATATATTTTTGTTTATGGTATATAATATTCTATTCAAATGCGGCCCAGTGCTCTCTTATATTCTGGATCCGCCGCTATGTGTGTCGATCGGATAAGCGAGCGCAAAGTTACGATTGTTCGAAGTTTATTCGGAGAGGTGTGCACCGTATTGATTTTTGTTGTTCAAGAAATTAAAAATGCATTGATTGAATTTAATTACTAGAGTTTGCTCGCCGGAATTTACTCACCTACTAATTTATGTGCAGAAAAGTAAAGCTTCCTATCTGTGCCTCGCATTGAATGATTGGCACATTCAGGACGGTGGGAAACCGCGGCGGCGACTGCACTGCACTCTATAGCTAGATCCGCGTCTCCCGGGCAGGCTCCATTTTTCTTCTCACATTAACCAAAAGTCCACTCTGTGCACTGGGATTCAAATAATAAAAACTTTACTTTACCAGCTTGCATTATATTCGTATGTAGCGGTAGCGGAGTTTGACTGTTAAAAGTTAAAACGACGCAAAATAAAAGAAGGCAAGGCACAGTAAAAAAAATGGAAGTGAGTGAGTGAGTGAGCAAAAAGAGGAGCATTCCATCGAGATTTGGGGAATAGGCAGTCCCAGTCTGCGTTGGTCTATTGCGATCCGCATAAACTGGCAACATATATTTAATTAAACTCTAGTGGTGTCTCCCGCAAATTTTGCGGGTTTAAACTAAACAGAAAACAATTGACATTCTTTAGTAAAAAAAAAAATGAAGTAAGTTCCTTCATTAGTAGTCGTAGGTAGTGGTGAAAATCAGTACGATATTGGTATTTCAATACCAAATACTGGAATTCCAAAAATCAATCTCAATCTCAATTTCTAAATATTCGGTATCTCAATCGGTATTATCGAATATGAAATTAATCACCTTTGCAATTAATAATTAAATATATAAATTAGATTTGATTGTTAAATTTAAAACAAATAGACTAAGCAAAGAGTCTTGAGTTGGGCAGAGGATAGAGTCAGTAACCAATGGTTACTGACCTGTCAGTATTAAATCCGGACCGTAAATTTAGGGATGACATTATTATATGGTTGGGCTGCACGCGGAGTGAGGAGGGGCATTTTTGTCCGATTTTTGAAATTTGATTTCTTTCCTTTTTTTTTTCCAGCATTTATATGTTTGTCTTTTAATGGAGGAAAGAGGAAAGAGAAGAGCAAACTTCTCTCTTCCTCTCTCTTTTCTCTTTCTCTCTTTCTTTCTCTCTTCCAAACTCTTTTTTCCAAATCTAAATCTCCTTTCTTCCTTGTTCTTCATTTTTTCTCCAATAATCAATGAAGAAATTTCAGCCTCCCACCTCAAATTCGGTGACGCTCCAAATCCTTCTTTTCTCAACCTGCTCCTTCCTTCTGTTTTTTTCTTTTCTCGGCCTCAAAATCGATGATGCTCCATATTGTCAAAGAGGGGACAGATCTAGGTGAGTTGAGTTTGCATCTTTTGTGTTTTAGTATTTGTTTGTGAATTAATTCCGATCTTCTTCCTCTTTTTCTTTCTTTTTGCATTTGGTGTTCTTGATTGCGGAGGAGTAAATGAGAGGAGACAAAAGACAAAAAAAAATTTCCCTTCCTCCTTCTGTTTCCCCTTCTTTGAGAATATATATTGATATTACCACACTATACCATATGGTAATGTGTGCTAACTAAATGTATTTTTATAGTCACGAGTTTTATCATGGTGGTAGTGGGTGGTAATCGGCACCAGTTCCGAGAAAGAAGAGTTAGAAGACAATGAAAGGAGAGAAGAAAGTGAAGAAAGTCGTAATTGTGTATATATATATATATATATATATATATATATATATATATATATATATGGTGATGACTGGTGTACGTCAGGCGTATACTATACGTCAGGTGATCTAGCCGTTAGATGTACTTAGATGAGCTCCGGTCGATCTCAACGGTCAATTTTTGTTTTTCATTAAATCAAACTTCAGGTTGGGGTTTAGAAAATCGGTGCCTGGGGTTTATCCATTAGAGGTTAGGGTATAGTATCATACCCCAAACTCGATTTAATTCATGGTCTAGATATAGATATCTCACTAGTAGTACCTGACGTATAGTATACGCCTAACGTACACCAGTCTGACCCATATATATATATATATATATATATATATATTGAGATTACCACACTATAGCATATGGTAATGTTTAAATACCATATAGTAATGTGTATATATCATATGGTAATGTGTCTATACCATATGGTAATGTGTGGTAACGAAATGTATTTTTATGAATATCATGTTTTTACTATGGTCGTAGAGGGTTGTAATTAGATTTACATGGTCTTACCTTCTCAAACCATGTGGTATTATATGGTAATTATAATTAATTTGTGGTCCTTTGATTTACAATGTTCTACTATGGTGGTATTGTATGCTAGTTAGATTTATAATTTTCTGTAGCATGGTTTACCAAGTTATACCATGTGGTGGTAGTTTGATTTGTAATTTTATTTTAGCATGTTATACCATATGGTATGGTATGGTAATTAGATTTGTAAATTTCTGTAGCATGTTTTACCACGTTATACCATGTGGTATTGTATGGTAGTTAGATTTTTTTATTTTCTTCAACATATTTTGCCATGTTTTACCACGTTTTACCATGTGGTATTGTATGGTAGTTAGAATCGTAATTTTCTTCAACATATTTTACCATGTTTTACCATGATAGTAGAAAGTGATAATCATATTTATACCTGTAATTAGTGTTTTTAAAAATGTATTATTTAACGAAAAAATCATCATTCAATTTGAGCTGGAATTAGTTTAGGGATAGTTAGGATGGTTAGATTCATTTTTGTTGTAGACGGGAGAGAGAAGAAATAATATATATTTTTTCTTTTAATAATAAAATAAAACAAAGAGTGAGAGAGAGGGGGAACCAGACAACCAGTGTGGGGTGGGGGAATGGGATCCGCGTCTGGTCAAAAAGTCACCGTCAGCGCGTCAGCGTCATCATTAAATAGGGTGCAATTTTACCTTAGTGCCCCTCCGTGTTTAATTTAAATAAAAAGAAAAAGCTGACACGTGGGGACAGATGATTGGATTACTGACAATTACTGATAGCAAAGATACTGACATGATCCGGTCCCCTTGAGTTGCCTAGAGATAGGACATGGATAAGGAGAATAGAGGAGACGTGCTCTTGACATTGATAATGTTTAATTTGACGAATTGGAGGCTGAGAGACGACTAATACTATGATTTTTTTAGAATAGCATTGTTTAACTTTTTTTTACAAAAATAGCACAATTTCTCAAAAACCGCCACCCCACCTTGCGGTTAACACGAAAAGCGCTGGGTGGGGGCACAGTTTTCAACAAAAACCGCTTTGGTCTGGGACGGTTTGGTTCAAAACCGCTGGGCCACCCAGTGGTTTGGTCCTATTTTTTCCGATTATTCCTAACCTAGGTGGAAACTTCAAAAGACCGTATCTTTGTGCTCGGGTATCCGATCGTAGCAAAAAAAAATTATCTCGCATAACTTTTTGAGATCTTGCAAGCCAGAAAACGCCCGTTTTCGTCGCGAAAAAACATCGTTTGCTATCTCGAACGAGCTTTTTTCAATTTCGTCAAACTTTGGGCTGTCATAACTTTGTGCTCCAAAGTCCTTGAAATTTTATGCAGAATCAAACAAAATTTCATCACGTTCGGATTACAGAGCACAAAGTTATGGTCGTTCGAAGTTTGGCGAAATCGGAAAAAAGCTCGTTCGAGGTAGCAAGAAACGTATTTTCGCGACGAATGCTAGCGATTTACGGCTTGCAAGATCTCAAAAAGCTATGCAGGATCAAAAAAATTTACCACGATCGGATACCCGAGCACAAAGATACGTTCGTTTAAAGTTTCCACCTAGGTTAGGACTAATCGGAAAAAAATAGGACAAAACCGCCCATCACCCAAGCGGTTTGGAAAACTGCACCAAACCAAAGCGGTTTTTGTTGAACACCGCGCCCCCACTCAACGATTTTCGTGTAAATTGCGGGGTGGGGTGGCGGTTTTTTAGAAAGGGTGCTATCTTTGGCATTCTTCGGGATTGGGTGCTACTTTTGTAATTTTTTTTAAACAGTGCTATTTCTTGAGAAAATCCTAATACTGGTGTTTGTTTTTTGGTGTTATGAAAATAATAAGAGATTAGGTGAGAGACGAGAATGACTTAAACCTTGCTATTTTCACAATTTTTTATCCGATCCATTATTCCAAGACTTGGATGTGCCAGCCACCCATCTTGTATTATTTTGCTACAATCTTCATGCTTTTCCCAATATGGTTCATATCTGAAGCTCCACCCCCAAGTAATCTCTCCTTCCTCCAAATTCAGCTTTATCTGTATGGGTATATGATCAGAGCTAGGGATGGCAACAAAACCCGAACCCACAGGTACCCATCCGACCCAACCCGGTCAACGCGGGTAAAATCCGTGTTGACGGGGTTTGGGCCGGGTTTGAGTTTTAACCCATTTACTATTCACCGAGTTGGGTTTAGGTAAACCCGGCCCATGGGTACCCGTCCAGACCCATATAATTAATTTTCTCGGTATATCTAATATTCTAAACAACTAATCTTATTTATGTTTGTGGAGACATGCTAATTTTTTCTTTCTAATTGTGTGGAATGAAGTTGATGCTATCGAGTGGAGAATGAAGAAACTTAATTGAAAGGAAGAAGCTTTCAATTAATCATGTTATTTATGGATAATTTGTGATTTACTTCAATTTTCTTGAGTTTTTTAGATTGGTGTTGAACAATTTGTATAGTTAATTTGTGATTTGCTTGAATTTTCTAGAATGACGTTTTATATATGGATAATTTGTATTGAGAGATTGATATTTGACTTTAATTTTGATAGAAACTTGTTATTGTAAATTTTTTACGACAAAAACCCGTGGGTACCCTTGAACCCGCGGATACCCACCGGGTTGAGTTGGGTTTGAGTTTTTCAAACCTAGTGGGTTTTACCCCGGATTTTTTTCACGGATAAACACATGGGTTTGGGTTTGGCAAAACCCGACCCATTGCCATCCCTAATCAGAGCCACATCTCTCCAGGTGGTTTACTCTCATGTGAGGAAAGTAATCCATCCACTTTCTGTTTTCAACTGCCCTATCTAGGCGTTCCTCTGTATAGTCATCCCCTGATTTATTGTTGAGATGTTTTATCATGGATTTAAAGGGTTTGGTATTTAGAACTTGAAGTCTAAAATTACATTGTCGTCATTTTCTATTTGTGTGTCATGTTTATGATATGTACACAAAACAAAGACAATACGTACTAATGAGTATAATGTTGCCACAAAGACTATAATAATAAAAATAAATTAGGTTTAACTTTAATGTAACATATATCATTTACCAATTCTTTGCCCTACTTTTCAAAAGTAACATATAACAACATATACTAGCTTTTTACCCGGCCCGTTGGCCGGTGAGTTTCATTTTATCATTTATATTAATCAATTTATCTATATGTTTAAACTATTTTGGATCTTCTACATTTGTTACATTTGCATTCATGCATGAGTATGCGGTGCGTCTGTAAATTAAAAATTCTCAATGCTTAGCACGTTCACTTATGATGTTTCAATTCTCTGATCATAAATCATGTCACAAAGATATATTACGATACTCAAATGCGTGAGTATGTGGTGCGTCTATAAATTAAAACAACGATACTCAAAAAATTTTATCTTATACAATATATGTCATTAAATGAATCTCGAGTTTAAACAAACTCTCAACCAATGATGTTGCTCAGATGACGACAACTTAGTTAGAATGTTTTTATAAAGGTACTTCAATATTAGGTAAATTTGGTCATCCCAATTGAAAGTTTATTGTCTTATTGTAAGATCATATTTGTCGATCAAGACACTCAATTTAATATCTTATACAATATGTACCAATTGTTAATTCCTGAAGTTTAATTTAGACTCACCCTCAACGAATGATCGTTGTTTAGATGTTGGTTTAGAATCTCGGTCCAAGATACTCACACACTGTGGAGGGTTCTAATCTTAACATGGTCCATTGGTGTATAATTTTCTAACTTATCAAATATGCATTTGCTTAAACTTATACTAATACCTTCATTTTGTTCGTGTAATGCCACATCTATTGTCAATATCTAAGCATGATACTATACTCTAAGTAAGAACACGCTATCTGGACCACGAATTAACCGAATTTGTGGGCATGATACTATACCCTAATTCTTGATGAGTGAACCCTATGTCTTAGTTATCTAAATCATAGAGCTTAACTCCTAAGATTGTGCATGTAATATGTTGCATATATTTTGACGAAGCATGACCGTTGATTTTTGTTTAGAATTAAATTGATCTTAGGGTATGAGATTTATAAATTTAAGACCTAGATTTTAATCTTGAAGGGTTTGAGAATAATACCATATACCAAACTCTAGTCAATTCAAGGTCTAGATATCATTTTCTTACTCAAAGTATGTCATAATATACATATATATTGCAAAAAACAATTATTGAATAAAAAATATATATATTAAAAGAAGATATAGATAGCTACATAAATGATCATTAATATAAAAAGAAAATATTAAAAGAAGATAGATATGGCTACATTAATTGATCATTAACGAACTTTTTTGTTGTAAAAAAAGTGTACACCATGGCACCTTGTAAATTCTCCAAATGCTTATGTGGCAACAAACTACTTTTGAATTGCCATAATATTATGTATAGATAGATTAGAACCGGGAGAACAAAGAATTACATGTTACATGAAAAGGTCAAAGGAAACTAGAACACAAAAAAAAAATCTAACTCATGTGTGCACATTAAATGAATATTTATATTATTTCCGTTGTTAATTAATTGATTAATTATAATATACAATAGGTAAATGTGAGAGCAACTTTGAAATATTAAATATTTACGAGGATATATAAGTAAAATCCCATCAAAGATTTATTACATGTTACAAATCACATATCAATATGTGAGATTTACAGGTTCTTGAGGTCCACAAATTTGGACCCCACCAATTTAGTTCCTAAAAAACATACATGTAAACAATGTATTATTCTTAAATCCATAATTAGGGGTGGGAAACGGTGCGGTTGCGGTTAACTGCACCGCAATTTGCGGTTAACACAACCGCAAAGTACCCATATTAACCAACCGCAACGGCGAAATTCGGCTAACAGTGCACCACGATTACTGGAGTTAACAATCGATTTAACCGCATCTATGTGACTAGCAGAGAGACGGCAGCGGGGGTAGCAGAGCATATGTGGAGAGCGAGGGTCGATGAGTAGAGCCGATGTAGAGAGCGACAGGTAGAGAGTGTAGCCTGAGTCAGCGAACAGACAGAGCAGGTCAACTTGACGAGACTCGAGAGGCGATGAGAAGAGCAGAAGCAGATGTGAATGTTACGTCGTCTAAGGAAGTTGAGACTCGAGCCTACCGCTGCGGGGATGACGACCGACAGCGACAAGGTCACAAGGGACGATAGCGGGCGGATTTACTGATCGTCGGTCGACGTCTCCACTCTCTCTCAACTCTCAAGGCTCTCGTCGGCGGGCGATTTAGGGTAGCTGGGTTAGGGTTTTCAGTCTTCAGACCTGGGAAGTGGGAAATGGAATTGCAATTCGCAAAGCCAAAGTGGCGAAGTGGAGGAAGGGGCCGGGTCGGGTTGGGCTGAGGTGGGGATGGAGTTTGTGTTATGGGCTGGGCTGGACTGGAAATGAATTGGGCTGGATTTTTTCAATTATCATTGCGGTTAGAGATATTCGCGGTATTGGTTGCGGTTAAATCGCAAAACAACCAATATCTCCAACCACGATCACAAAAGATGTTGTTTTTGCGGTTTACAGTTTAACCACTAACAGTGCGATTTCGATACGAATCCATAATATATGATTCAAATTCACGAAGCAAACGACTCGTATCTCCGGAGCAAATCCAAAATGTCATCAACCTGCGGGCCGCGGGGGCCGTTGGCAGTAGGATATAAAATAGTGGTTCGGCCCACCAAACGCAGAATTTGCTCTCTGTTTAGGGTTTTAGGTTGGAGGCAGAAAAGAAAACTAGCGAAGGGAAGCGAAGCTGTGCCCGCCGATCTTTAATCATGTTTCCCGGGATGTTCATGAAGAAGCCGGACAAGGCTGAGGCGTACAAGCAGCTGAAAGTCCACGCCGCTATGTTCGCTGCCTGGGTCGCCGTCATCCGCGTCAGTCCTTACCTCCTCCACTATCTCTCCGCCGCCGAGAAGGAAGAGCTCAAGCTCGAGTTCTAGATTTCTCACCATCTCTGTTCGTATATTCCTGCAAGTTTAATCTCTGTACTCCGTTTCTTCTTGCGACTATATACGGTATGATTGGTTTTCGAAGGTTTAATTGAGGCTTTAGTGGCTTGAATTCGTTTCGCTATTATGGTTGGAATTAGCTTTGCGTTAGCAGATTTCTTAGTTTTTAACGCTTGAATTTGTTTTTATTTTGGATGACGCTGATCTGCTTGGTGGGGCGGAATAGTGGTACTGATTTGCCGATCATAGAACCGAATTGATCCACTTGCCACAATCCCAGACCTTCCTTTGTTGTTAGTCGATGTTAAAGCCCTTGATTCTCTTGTTAGCTTTCCAGTCAGCTTAGTAAGACTGTCAAACACCAGGGTTCTGCTTTTGGCATATTATCAAACACTTTTGTTGTTCGTTTCCCAGTATTCGATCTCCCCTCTTCTCTTCTGTGTAGTTTTTCATGAATTTTGTCCTGAGGGTGTCGATTCTCTGCATTACTCCGCGGTTGGGCGTCATTTCATTTCTTCGGAGACTGCACCTTTGCAGCTGGGTAAGACGTTGATGCAGGGGAACTAGCGGCCAGGATTGAGGAGGCTGTTCAGGTTGGGAGGGAGCTGGCAGCCGAGAGGAAAGCAACCGCCAACTAGTTGGTTTGTGTGGAGGAGAAGGGAAAAGCGTCCCCGGAGGACACGTGGTGTTCAAATTGATTCCGATTCTGATTCGGATGAAGAGGTCAAGGATGAATACCAGGACCATGCTGATGACGACCGACAGAATCGTAAAGACTATCAGGTCAAGGCTGATATCCCATTGTTCTACGGAACTATGGGCGTAGAAGACTTCCTCGACTGGCAAATTGACGTCGATAGTTCTTTGACGTGATGTAGGTACCGGAAAATAAACAGGTTAAGATGGTAGCCATCCGTTTGAAGAGTACTGCCGCTGTATGGTGGACAAGCTTGTTGTCTAGTGTCAACGCCAGCGGAAGCCCCCAATCCGAACGTGGCGGAGGATGAAGCAGCTGATGATGGAGCGGTTTTTACCAGAGGATTATGAACAGATTTTATACAAAATGTACATTGATTGCAGTGATGGCAATTGGGCGGGGCGGGGCGGGTACCTCAATTCCCATGCCCTGCCCCACGCTAGTACGGGGCGGGGCTGGTAAAACCCATCGCGGGTACGGGGCGGGGCGGGTCGACCCACTCTTACATGTTATTCAAAAAAAATACAAGTAAATTTTACTTTTTACGATAAAACGAAGGGTAAAACACTTTAAGAATGAAAATAGTGATAATAGAATGGGTAATTGAGTCTAACAAGTTGAAAAGTGACTCTAACTAGTTGAAGAAAAGTCAAAATAGGATAAATATGTATATAAATTGTAAGAAATTGAGATAAAATGAGTCTAGAACGGGGCGGGGCATGGTGGATCGGAAGTAGATACCCATGCCCCGCCCCACGCTACTGCAGGTCGGGTAATACCCGCCCCATCGCGGGTCAGGTCGTGTAATACCCACGGGGCGGGTTGAAATTGCCATCACTAATTGATTGCGTTCAAGGGCGTATGAGTGTTAATGAATACACGACCGAGTTCTTGCGCTATGCTGAACGCAACGAGTTGGGAGAGACGAAAGCACAAAAGGTTGCTCGATACATCAATGGCTTAAGGGGATCGATCCAGGATAAAATTGGGCTGCAAACAGTCTGGACAGTGACCGAGGCTTCTACCCTTGCGCTGAAGGCGAAGTTAATGGAAAAATCTCCTAGAAATTTCCCCTCTTTTCGCAAGTTTCCCCCGCAAAACAACCCTGATGTGAGCACCGACAACGAGATAAGCTCGAGTTCTAGGGAGGCACACCCAACTCCAAAAGGTGCTGTCAGAGCGGGTAATTCCAACCCGACCAAAGGCCCCACCATGAGACCTACGAACCCATATGCGAAACCTGGGGGAGATAAGTGCTACCGCTGTGGTGGCCAAGGCCACAGGTCGAATGTTTGTCCCTCTTGCAGGACGACGACGGTTGTAGAGGAGATGACTGCTTGCATTAAGGAGAACGAGGATGAAGAAGATCGTGATGAGTACGCCGGGGTGGAGTTTGTTGAAGAGGAGTCTCAGGAAACAGTGAACATCGTTCTACGCCGAATCTTGTTGTCATCAACGGACGAGGGGCAACGTAAGAACCTTTTCCGGACTCATTGTTCTATTAGTAATAAGTTGTGCAATCTTATTGTCGATAATGGGAGTACCGAAAAACTTGGTTTCTCAACGACTGGTGGCGTATTTAAAGCTGCCAACAGTGCCCCCTCCTACCCCGTACGCTCTGGGCTGGGTAAGTAAGGGCCCACAGGTTAAAGTAACACAGACTTGTCGAGTACCTATCTCCATTGGTAAATATTATAAGGAGGAAGTTGTGTGTGATGGGTTGAATATGGAAGTTTGTCACGTCCTCTTGGGAAGGCCATAGCAATACGACAATGATATCACATATAGGGGACGAGATAATGTGATGATGTTCACGTGGGGAGTACACAAGATAGCTATGGCACCTGTGTCAGGATTCCACAAACAGCCTGGGAAGCCAAAGTCAAGCTTTCTTGTGATGACGGAGGATGAACAGGAGCTATGCAGCCGCTATTAAGGAGTCAGAATGGATTTATCCAATTTTGGTGAAGGGGTTGCTCAGTTCCTCACCGTCCGAGACCGCCATTCCTCACGAGGTACAAACCATTCTGAATGATTTTAAGAAGCTGATATCGGATGAGCTCCCCAATACTTTGCCGCCTATGCGAGATATACAGCATCACATCGATGTAATCCCGGGATCTAGCCTACCAAATCTTCCTCATTACCGTATGAGCCCCAAAGAGAATGAGATATTACGGGCTCAAATTGAGGACCTGTTGCGGAAGGGATTCATTCGGGAAAGTATGAGTCCGTGTGCCGTACCTGTGTTGCTCGTGCCCAAGAAAGGAAACCAATGGCGCATGTGCGTCGACAGTAGGTCCATCAACAAGATCACTATCAAGTACAGGTTTCCCATTCCCCGTCTGGAAGACATGCTTGATGAGTTATCTGGGTCAAAAGTCTTCACAAAGATTGACCTACGAAGTGGCTACCACCAGATTCGGATTCGGTCTGGCGACGAATGGAAGACCGCATTCAAAAGCAAAGACGATCTTTACGAATGGCTCGTCATGCCCTTCGGGTTGTCCAACGCCCCTAGCACGTTCATGCGTCTTATGAACCAGGTTCTTCGCCCCTTCATCGGTTCTTTTGTCGTCGTTTACTTTGATGACATATTAATTTACAACAAAACAAAGGAAGACCACTTGGAGCATGTTCGACAAGTACTCCAGGCTTACAAGAGAATGAGCTCTATGTTAATTTGAAGAAATGCACGTTCTGCACAAACAAACTTTTGTTCTTGGGTTTTATTGTTGGGGAAGAAGGGATCCAGGTGGACGAAGAAAAGGTAAGCGCCATCCGAGATTGGCCTTCACCCTCGTCTGTTTCGGAAGTTCAGAGTTTCCATGGGCTGGCCATTTTCTACCGAAGGTTTGTACGAGACTTCAGCACTATCACGGCTCCCATCACGAAATGTTTGAAGAAAGTAAAATTCCATTGGGGTCCTGCGCAGGAGCGGAGCTTTGCGTTGATCAAGGAGAAGCTTTGCACCGCTCCAGTCCTCGCCTTGCCGAATTTTGATAAAATTTTCCAGGTCGAGTGTGATGCTAGCGGCGTCGGCGTGGGGGCAGTACTCTCACAGGAAAAACGGCATGTTGCTTACTTTAGCGAGAAACTGAGTGATGCTAGGCAGAAATGGAGCACCAATGATCAGGAATTTTATGCCGTATTTCGAGCTCTGCGACAATGGGTAGGGATGGCAATTTCGACCTGACCCGTTTTACCCGACCTGTTTGACCTGTTTTGGGGCGGGCATGAGTAGTCTCATCGACCCGACCTGCCCTGACCCGCCCCATTCTCGACCCATTCTTGTCTAAATCACATGTAATCTTAGTGAAATTACTGAGAATTTTTCTTTTATTGCATCATATTTTAGCTATAATAAAGTTGTAAATTAGTAAAAATCTCAATTTCTCCAATAAGTCAACTACAATTGTCATAATATTGTTTGTTTTCTTAGTCTTATAATAAAAATAACGAATATTTCTAATGTTTTTCATATAAATTGCATACACATTGGGTCGACCTGCCCCGACCCGCGACCCGTGATCAATTACCCGACCTGGACCCGACCTGCCACGGGGCGGGTCTGGGTACCAAGAAACCCGCCCCGGACCTGCCCCATTGCCATTCCTAACAATGGGAGCATTACCTGATCCAGCGCGAGTTTATTCTCTACACCGATCACCTTGCACTGAAGTTTCTCCATAGCCAGAAGATAATTAATAAAATGCATGCTCGTTGGGCGAGTTATCTATAGAAGTTCCCATTCATCATTCAACATCGATCGGGTGTTCAAAATAAGGTGGTGGACGCGTTGAGTAGACGAGCTTCTTTATTGGTCACTTTGGCACAGAAAGTCGTGGGTTTTGAATTTCTCAAAGAATTATATGCTTCTGATCCTGAATTCAAGGAGGTATGGTTTACATGTACTCACCAGCATCCACAAGACGACTTCCATGTTAGTGACGGGTTTCTGTTTAAAGGGAATCAGCTCTGCATTCCCAGCTCATCGTTACGCGAGCAACTCATCTGGGATTTGCATGGCGGTGGGCTTGGTGGTCATCTGGGTCGAGACAAGACCATTTCCAGCTTAGAGGAGCGATTTTTTTGGCCGCATCTCCATCGCAATGTTGGCTCGATTGTTCGGCGTTGTTATGTGTGTCAAGTCGCTAAAGGTCAGTCTCAAAATACTGGACTTTACCTGCCCCTGCCAGTTCCTGATGATATTTGGCTGGACTTGTCAATGGACTTCGTCCTGGGGTTACCTCGCACCCAGCGTGGCATTGATTCCGTCTTTGTCGTTGTCGACCGGTTTTCGAAAATGACTCACTTTATCGCCTGTAAAAAGACGGCTCACGCCTCCAACATCGCGAAACTGTTTTTCAAAGAAGTTGTTCGTCTCCATGGGGTTCCCAAATCTATTACATCGGACCGTGATACTAAGTTTCTCAGTCATTTTTGGCTCACACTATGGCGGATGTTTGGCACTACGCTAAATCATAGTTCTACAGCTCACCCGCAGACGGATGGGCAGACGTAGGTGACCAATAGAACGTTGGGCAATATGATCCGAAGTATTTATGGAGACAAGCCCAAGCAATGGGACTTAGCCTTACCGCAAATCGAATTTGCATACAATAGTGTCGTGCATTCGTCGACGGAAAAATCTCCATTCTCTCTTGTCTACACTACCCCACCGCGTCATGTCGTTGACTTAGTAGCACTTCCCAAGCTTTCCCGGAGTGAATCGGCTGCTGAACATATGGCACACGATGTTATGGCCGTGAAACATGCAGTTAAAACCAAGCTAGTGGCCACCGGAGAAAAGAACAAGGCTGTCGTTGATACTCATCGTCGTGCCAAGGTGTTTGCGGCGGGAGATAAGGTAATGGTTTTCCTACGGAAAGAGAGGTTTCCTGTTGGTTCGTACTCTAAGCTACAACCTCGCAAATATGGTCCTTTTACCGTCCTCAAGAAGATTAACGACAATGCCTACGTCATTGATTTGCCGCCTACTATGAATATCTCTAGCACGTTCAATGTCGCCGACATCTATGAGTTTCATGAGGATGCTGTGCTTTATCCTGAGATGAACTCGCGGTCGAGTTCTTTACAGGTGGAGGAGACTGATGCAGGGGAACTAGCGGCCAGGATTAAGGAGGCTGTTCAGGTTGGGAGGGAGCTGGCAGCCGAGAGGAAAGCAACCGCCAACTAGCTGGTTTGCGTGGAGGAGAAGGCAGCATGTTTATTGTTTACGTTGTTTGTTTTGTTTGGGTTTTCCTAGTCATTATCGGTTTTAGTTTAATAAGCATTGTGGGATTGGGTTGTTGGGACCATGGCTATTTAAGGCCTTGTCTGCGTTTGTAGAAGATCATTCTTTTGGCTTCAATACAATAAACCTATTGGTTTGCACATCTGGTGGATTTCCAGAGTAGTTCTAACGAAGCTTGCAGCTGGCAAGCTTGTGTTCTTTCGGATTCGAAGCTATCGAATTTTTGAGGTTTCCGACTGCGTCAGACGTGCACTTTCTTCCCTGCGGATTCACCCATCTCAATTCAATGAAAGAATAGAGCAAGAAAAGGAAGAAAAAAGCACTAATGACTGGCCAGCCAGCATGTTCAACAATTCACGCACGAAAGAAGCAATAAATGGGCAATCATTAACTTCTTATGGCATGAAAGCCACGGCGGTAACAACTGCCAAAAGGAACTGAGAAAGAGATTAGAGAATGGGAATGGATGAAAGGATCAATATTATGCAACTCCATAACTGTGCAAAATTTACAAGTTTCCCAATTGGACCTGCGGTTGCATTGGCGGATGAGCCACCATAGTAACAAAGTGAATCTTGAAGCACGCATACTGCTGTGATTTACCAACCTCTAATCCTATACCATGTACAAAAAGACACTAGGATGTGTCATTTGAATGATCAAACTTAAACTTGATCAATCCACAACAAGCCGGATCATGACTTGGGATCGAATGAGGTTACTGTTTGAACCTAACTGAGTGTAGGAGTGAAGTTCACGAGAACGGGTCGAGAAGAACGAATGACTTGGTTAAGTAGGAACTTTAAGACAAATGGAAGGAAGAATAAGGTCGAGAGAGTGTTTTAGTGAGAGAAGTTCGTTCTTTCTAGAGATAGAGTGTGATTCTCCAAAAATCCGATCCCCTCACCCACCGGAGTAAATGCCGTATTTATAGGCTACATGGTGGTGGGTGAGTTACATGACGGTACGATGACGTGACCACTACGGCATGGTGACATGACCACTGACATGTCAGGGACATAGACCATATCCCTATGGGTGACAAGACCTTTAGCCATGACTATACCTAGGACTATGATGGTGACTACCCTTTGGGTGACGCGGCGCCGCTTCTACGACTTCTCGGCGAGGGCTCACGGTTGTCCAAAGCGCCGTCGTTTGGCGTCCATGCGCGGTCTCTGGGGCCGGTCTTTACGCTCGCGCTTGGTTCCGGCGTGACTCACGCGTTGACTTTGGCGTGAGCATCCTTGGGTATTTCTTCGGCGTGGTGAGATCCGAGTCACATCCCCAACAATTGGCCCCCATCAGGGGGTATTCCGCGAATGCCGCCTGTTTGATCTTCATGTGAGCGACTCGGATCTGCGCGATTATGCCTGTTTCTGTGTTGTTGATTATGATTGGCGCGATCTGGGTAAGTTAGTGCTTGTTTTGGTCTCCGCGTGATCTTTGGTGGCGCGCACAGCTGGTGCATCCTTTGCACAATTCTCGTCCGCTCGAGATCTCCGGGGTTGGTTGTGCGCGCCGTTTTTACATTGCCCCCCATTAGTGATATTCCGCGAGTGGCCGAGATCTCTTGGGTTGGTTGTGCGTGACGCTTTCTTAGTTGGGATTGGTTTTGAGCTTCGGTGGCGCGCACAGCTAGTGCATCCTTTGCACGATTCTCGTCCGTTCGAGATCTCCGGGGTTGGTTGTGCGCGCCGTTTTTACATTGCCCCCCATTAGTGATATTCCGCGAGTGGCCGAGATCTCCTGGGTTGGTTGTGCGTGACGCTTTCTTAGTTGGGATTGGTTTTGAGCGTGTTTTTTCTCCTTCGTGGACGTATCCTGCCCCCCAGGCGCTGTGCGGAACCTATGACGTCAGCGGCTAGTGCCTATGTTGGGTAGGTTGCCACGTGTCTGTGTGCGGTTTGGTCGGTTTTGGCGGCCGTTTTGAAATTTGAAAAGGCTCTGACAGTTGCGATTCTCGATGTACCTTTAACCCTTCAGCTTTCCGTTGTCGAGTATAAATACCTCCTCTCTGCCCAGAAGTCGGAACCCACTTTGCTTATCGTGAGAGAAAAATTTCGTTTGTTTCTTTGTGCTTTCTTGCCGTCTGGGATTCCTCTCCTTCTACAACCTCGATTCTCACCTTGCTGTTGCTGATTCGAAGTGTTACCATGGATAGCACCAACATCAACGAGACCGAGGTCGTGCAGGGCGAAGAAGGTAATCCCTCTTCTTTTTCACGTGTTTCTACTGATCCTTCGCTGGATCTGGACGATTCTGGGCACGGGGACGACGGCGGAGCCGACGGTGGCGATGCGATATCGGCGGCGGCGCCGTCGCTCGACGTCGATGCGGGCTGGGGCCCCGATGAGGGGATGATTGCGTCTGGGAGTGGGCAGGCGGGTGTTGGTGCGCGCGGGGTTTTGATTATTCGGCGGCCTCGCGGCGGTGCATCTGGGGTGGCTGATTCGGAGATGCGCGAAGGGTCTGATACCCAGTCGGAGCCGCGCTGCACCGCGCATGTAACTGAAGCGATGAGCCGATTAGGCTTCCGAGGTGTGGGCGCGGCTTACACCGTCATTGACTGGGCAGAGATGTGGGGCGATCAGCCCGCGCGCAGTGACAACTTTCTCAGGGGGCGCGATCACGCATCCATTTACGGGTACCAGGACGTGATGGACATAGTGCGTGGGTTAGGTTTGCCCCCCAATTGGGAGTACGCGGTTCCATCCGCGAGAAGTATGGTTGGAAACTGTCCCGCGGGCTGGTTTGGGGTGTACACAGAGTACTGGGTGATGGGATTTAAGTTCCCCATCGACCCCTTGCTATGCGCTTTATACAGGCGCCTCAACTGTTCAGTTGGGCGTCTTTCCCCTTCAGTGATAATGCACGCGAGCTGCCTCCGACTCGCGTGCAAGAGGCTCAAGATTGAGCTAACTTACGGCTTATTCCGGAAGTTTTATAAGATCAAGGATCCTATGAGGAGGAGCGAGTGCCTTTCTATCAAGCGGCGTGACAAGAGACCTGAGGGTTTCGTGTACGGGTCTCCCAAGTTGAAGAAAACTTGGTTTGAGCGCTTCTTTTATGTTAAACCGGCCCCGGGGGAGTGGGCGAGTGAATTTATGGCGGAGCCGACCGAGTGGAAGAAGGGCGGCACGCATGGGTATGAATCGGACCTGGGTCATTACGCTGGGCTCGATGATGAATACGAAGCGTGCATGCATCAGAAGTTCAACTTATACGATGGCGGAGTCCGCGAGGCTTGTTTGGAAGAACTTTTTGCCGATGGTTAGTTGTGCTTCTTTCATTTTGCATTCTATCATATTAACCGCCCTCTTACGGCTTATTGGCGCAGGTGTTGATTTTTCCAGCTTGGCGAGTATGATGTCAGTTGATGACATCGTGAAGGCGCCTCGCGCTGGGAAGAAGAAGGGAAAGGAGGGCGCGCGGCCCAAGGGCACGAAGAGAAAAGAAGTTGAGCAGCCTGTAGTTGCAGAGAAGCCTGCAAAGGCTGCTCGCGTTGTGGAGCAACCTGCGCGAGCGACTCGACAGCAGCCGTTGGTGATTGTGGAGCCCACGTCGCAAGCGGATAGAAGCGTTCGGCCGGAGGGTAGCGCGGCTGGCGGCTCATCTGGGGCTACAATTCAGCAGAAGCTACCCCAGATGGCTGGTGGCGCCATTGACTACTTCCGCGATGTGCGAATCCACACGGGCGCGGCGTGTAACGTTGCCGCCGCGAACAATGCCATCCGGGCATTGGGACCTGTTCTGAGTGTCCCGTCGCGCCTGGAGAAGTCTGATCCGCTCCAGGATCTAGCACAAGTACACTTCGCGGTAAGATTGTCTGAGCTTCCGCGAAGTATTTTCTCGTCCCCCCTCTTCTCTTATTTTATTTTTGCTAAGTCCTGTGATGTTGTGGATGCAGGATTTGCTGGCGACTTTCCGCGCTCAACAGGAGCGAAGTTGGGAGCGCACGAAGATGAAGGCTGAGGAATCGAAGATCGTGCAGCTTGAAGGTAAGCTAGCTGGGGCTGAGGGCCGCGCTGAGTTGGCGACCAACAAGGCCAACGATGCTCTAGAGCAGCTGAGCGTCTTGCAGAGCAGGCTGGAAGAGCAAGTGGAGGCTGTGCGAGATCGGGTCCGAGGAGAGCTGCGGGAGGAGTTTGAAGGAGAAAAAAAGCGTTTGGCGGAGGAGCGGGAGCGGGAGAAGAGCCAACTAGAAAAGGATCATGCTGAAAAGATGAAGCAGGCTCAAGAGGATTTTGAGAAGGAGAAGAGGGATCTGGTTCGGCTTCACGTTGTGGCCAAATCGGAAGCTGTGCGCGAAGCGCAGGTCGCGGCGGTTCGCCAGTTTAAATCTTCCCCTGCCTTTGGGAAGATACTGGCGGATGCGATGACCAAAGCGGTCATTGCAGTTGGCAAGAAGGTGCGGCCGGAGGTTCCTAGCTACCGGTGGAACACTCGCGGCATGGTCCAGCATGTGCAGTTTTGGCTGTGTGAGAAGAAGTCGCTGGAGTTGGATTCTGAGGACGATGAGGAGGGAGATGATGAGGAGGGAGAGGAGGAAGAGGGGGATGAGGAAGATGACGGCGGTGAGGCGCGTAAGGAAGCTGTGGTGGAGGATAAGGGGGAGTCAGGCGCGGCGGCGGATGGGGAGGTGGCTGTCACTACCGCTGAGAAGTCCTCATCATAGATTAAGTGTAGAAGCGCTGCTTTGAATTTGGTTTGTTGTTTTTTTTATGCCTGTATTCGCTTGCTTGCGCGTCTTTTGCTCCCGTTTTACGAAATCCAAAGTACTTCCATTTCGTTCATGTATTGGCCGGCATAACTTTTGGTTACTACCCTTTTCGTGCGAGTGGTGGCGGCGCGAATAACTCTTAGTTATTGCTATTGTTTGTTCTTTCGAACTGTGAAGGCGCGAATAACTCTTAGTTATTGCTACTTTTTGTTCTTTCGAACTGTGGAGGCGCGAATAACTCTTAGTTATTGCTATTGTTTGTGTCTTTCGAACTGTGTAGGCGCGAATAACTCTTAGTTATTGCTATTGTTTGTTCTTTCGAACTGTGTAGGCTCGAATAACTCTTAGTTATTGCTATTTTTTGTTCTTTCAAACTGTGAGGGCGCGAATAATTGAGAAGTCAATATTATTGCTGATTTCTTGTGGCCATGCACGAATGTTAAATTAATTCGAGCAATGATATCTTCTGAGGTTCTGCGCGTTCCATGTTCGTGGAATTTTCGTGCCCTCCATTTCGTTGAGCTTGAAGGTATTGGCGCCGACAACCTCTCGGATTAGGTACGGGCCTTCCCATGTCGAAGCGAGCTTGCCATGTTTGGGGTCGGGGCGGAAGTTCCTGCGTAGCACTTGATCTCCGAGAACCAACTTGTGCAGGACCAGCTTCGCGTTGTAGTACTTGGCTACTTGCGCTTTCGTCGCGGCTAGTTTGATGGCCGCCAACTCTCGCCGTTCTTGTGCTAGCTCTAGGTCTAGCAGGCGTGCTTCGTCATTATCTGCCTCGTTGTACGCCATGACCCGGTATGTTGGGAATGTCACTTCGATGGGTATAACCGCGTTTGTGCCATAGGTGAGGGCGAATGGGGTCTCGCCCGTTGCCACTTTGAAGGTGGTGCAATGCTCCCATAACACCGTGTTGAGCTCATCCGCCCAGTTGCCCTTGGCTTCGTCCAGCCTTGTATGGAGGCCGTGCAAGATTGACTTGTTGGCCGCCTCCGCTTGGTCGTTGGCCTGGGGATAGGCTACCGATGCGAACCTCGCGATGGCCCCCACTTGGTCGCAAAAGTCTATCACTTCCGCGCAGTCGAATTGTTTCCCGTGATCGAAGATGAATGCATTCGGAACTCTGTAGCGAGCCAAGATATTACTTTTTAAGAATCGAGTTACCTGATGCGCCGTTATAGAGGCCATCGCCTCCGCCTCGATCCACTTGGTAAAGTAGTCCACCGCCACAATTATGTACTTGCGTTTCCCTTTTGCTGTTGGGAATGGGCCCAGAAGGTCTACTCCCCATTGCGCGAAGGGCCATGCGCTCAGATTGCCTTAGAACTCGGTCGACGGAAGATGATGTTGGCGAGCGTGTAGTTGACACTTATTGCATTGGTCGACGTATTTCTTCGTGTCCTTTTTCACCCGTGGCCAATAGTACCCATATAATAGTATCGTGCGCTCCATACTACGCGCACCGGCGTGCATCGCGCACATTCCTTCATGCAGGTCTCGCACCATGTTGCGTGCCTCGTCGTTTCCGATGCACTTGAGGTATGCTCCGGAGTATGATCGTCGGTATAAGTCCGAGCCAATTAGTGTGCAGCGGGCCGCTTTCTGCCTTAAGGTCCATGCTTCCTTGGCGTCTTCTGGCACCGCGCCGTCCTGTAAGAACCTTATGATTGGGGTTCGCCAGTCATCTTCCGTAATCTGGGTGGTATTGACCATGGCTTCTTGGTGGGTTTCTTCTTCCTCCTTTTGCACTGTCACCAGGCGCGTTGATTCAAAGTTTGTTGCTGTTGCTAGCTTGGATAGCGCGTCGGCGTGCATGTTTTCTTCCCTGGGTATTTGTACTTATGTCACCGCCTCGAAGGTGGTTGCTCGCTGCTTGACGCGCTCCATGTATTGCGCGAGTGCATCTTCCTTGGCATCGAAGGCTCCATTCAGTTGGTTGACCGCTAACGATTAGTCGGAGAGTACTCTGATTGTTCTAGCGCCCAAGTCATTGGCGGCTGCCATTCCCGCCAAGATGGCTTCATACTCGGCAGCGTTATTTGTCTTCAGGGCTTTGAATCAGATTGCTATTTCGTGCACAACACCAGTAGGCGTGCGCACGACAACTCCCTCGCCGGCGCCGTGCTTGCTCGCCGCG